TCACTTTCCTGTGTCTTAATTTCCTGAGCCCTAAAATAGAAATTAATGTTTCACTTTCTTTCTAAATTGTCCCATGCCTCACTGTGATTAAATGTGTTGTATGTGCTGAGTGGTATTATTATAGCATAAAATTATAGAGAAAATGAAAATTAAAAGAGGGAAGCATTGCAAAAACCATGTCTTTGGAACAGAGGAGCTGGTTGGGCTGTTGGAGGGTCTTTATTCACCATTGCAGGTAGATGGTAACTGCTGTCACAAGCAGCTTGAGAAACACGTGCACTCATGACTGAAAGTCCCTGGGATAGAAGTGGCTCGACCAAATCCCAGGGTTGTACTCGTACCCGGCTGTAAAGTTTCCCATCCAGGGCAAGCTGCCTGTTTAGGTGTTCTCATTGTTTGGAAATTTATTGTTGGGAAGATGTTATCAACGTCTCAGCACACAATTCTCAGCAGTGTCTCAGTGGATGCCATTCCCTTGAGGCAGAGGCTGTCTGGGTTTGCCTTCCACAGAGCCAAGCTCACTGTCAGCACTCAATTAGATGTGCACACACGATTTGTGCTGACTCAAAGCTCAAAGATACCCACTAGGGTTTTTTTGTTGAGCATCTTTGTGTAGAGAAAGCTATTTCCCCCTGACCCTGAACCTCTCTAGCGTTTTTCCTGATAGGAAAAAATAAGCCCTGTGTGCTCTAAGTCAAAACCAAAAGAAGGGACCTTTATTCAGAAGTGCCTGTGATCCACTCAAGCTTGCAGGAGCTGAGGAACAGCAGCCTCTGTGTGTGCCTCTGTCACTGCCTCTCTTCCTTCTTGATTCCATTCTGTGGATGACCTGGTGGCAGGAAAAGCCCCTCTTTGAGGTTATCTCTGGGTTGATAAGTCCACTAAAAATCCACTAAAGAAAAGAGCAAGGAGATGGAGGCAAGTGTCTTTGGAATCACAGGGTGGAGAGCTGTCAGCTCAGAGCCTTTTCAGGGAGCAGCTGTAGAGTCAAGGTAAATTTTTGTTTGGAGAGAAAGAAGAGAAAAGTAAGAGTGATGGCATCTAGTTCCAGGAGGCAGGAGCTTTTTGTGACTGTTAAAGTCAGAAGTTCCTTTCTCTTCTTTCATCTCCTTTGCTTCCACTGTTGGGGGATTTGCTTTTCCCCTGGGTACACAGGCAGCTCTTGAGAGGGGAAAGTGTCTGAATAGCAGCTCCCTGGCCAGAATCCTGAAACAGGACTGAAGCTGCAGAACATGCAGCAGCAGTAGAGGCTTGGGAGGGCGATTTCCTTGTCTGGTGGGTGTTTGGGTGGGACATGTAAGATTTTTTTTATGCTGCACATTGTTGTAATTCCAGCCACGCACAGAAAAAGCCGGGCTGAGGAAGTGCTCATGCACCTGTACAGGGTGGGACAGGCAGAAATAGACACCAAGGCATCCAGTTTGGGCAATTACCCTCTTCCTGCCTCCTCACCACAGTCGGCTTTTCAGTGGCTAAGCCACAAAGGGAGGAATAAAGACAAATGGGTTCTCCTTTTGAAAATACCTGTATTTAAAAGAACCTCCCTCCTTGATGGCATTCACTATGTGTCTGTTTATTCATCCTTTGCTCACATGATAATTTACTCCTGCAGAAATGGATCTCAGCTCCACCCTGTGCTGGGACTGAGCCACTTTTGCTGGCACTGCTGGAGGTCATTTACCAGGAGAAATGAGCTGTACACATCTAAAATGGGACTGCCAGAGCTATACCTGCCCACAGCTGCTCCCAGTGCCATCACTGCCTTCACAGTAGCTCATCTTCAATCCCACTGGGTTTCTAACTCTGCCCTGACTTGCACTCTACATCTCTTCAAGAGCTGGTAATATTCTGAGATGTCTCTAAGTGAAAATGGGAAGAGGAGCTGTTGATGGGGAAGAGGAAAGTGCAGTGCCAACCTCTGTCCCACTGCTGCCCTAATAGAAAAGATTTGTGGCTGTGGTTGAGCTGAAGCAGCAGCTGCTGTGGTGTCACTTCAATTTTATTAATTTGGGAGTAGGTGAGTGCAAGGAACAGAAAATGCTGTGGAAGAAGGGAGGGAAGCCAGAAAGGAAGAGGCTGGCACAAGTGCCAGGCTCCTTTACTGGAATGCAATTCTCTGCCCTATGCTCAGCCCTCTTGCCTGCAAATCAAAGATGTTTCTGCTGCCCCTCTCTCCACCTGGACGTGCTGCAGTTCTTTGTCTTCTGCATGGGGTCTCTCCTTCGTTATTGTCACAGAGCCTCAGCTCCTGTTCTAGAGAAACTCAGGTTTCCATCCCACCTGGGAATGTGCCCCACTTCTGTTCACCTCTGCTCTGGCAGCCCAGGCTGGGGTCAGGAGTCTCGGCTGTCACTGGCAGGAGTAATTGCAAAAATTGATTCATGGGAAATGCCTGTAACAGGCAAATCCTTTTGACAGACCACACAGCCATCATACTCTGCATTTATTTGAGTCAATCAATGCTCTGATGCATATTTGGGTCATAAATACTCTGATATAAATTGCATTTATTCTTGTGACAGCTGTGTTCCATTACCTGTTATTTATTTGGCTCTGTTGTCCTTTCGTTTTACACCTTGTGGAGCTGTCAAGTCAGCTGCTTACCACTGACAAAGCTCACAGCTCAGAGTCTTCCAAAAATAAATCCTCCAAAGGGACTTGAGCAGCAGAAGGTTGTATGTTATTGGAAAGTCATTGGACAATATTTCTCTTTTTTTTGGGTTTGTTTTATTTGAAAGAGGAGCTTTGTGCATTTTGCCTAAATTCCAGAATTAGACTTTTCCTTTATGATCCAGAGGTCATTGAAGCTAATAATCCCACTGATTAATGTGAGTTTTGGATCACACCCTGCATGTCTCAAAGCTTGAGATTTTATTAACCATGTTATTTGATATTTGAAATGGTGGGATGCTAACTTGGATGTTTCTAGTTTTCCCTTGGGAGCTTTTTCAGTTTTGTGTCTTTTTATATCATAAAAACGGCAGAATATGGGATTCTGAGATGAATGAATTGTAGTGTCCTTCCAAGAGAAAGATCAAATTGCAGTGGTCACACTGGTCTGGACCAGTCACAGTCATTTTCTGCTCCTCATTCCCAATGAGCAGCCACGTATCCTTTGTGCCAGGCTGTTGCACCAGCTTTGCAAGGTGCCAAGCCCTTGGTGTTAATTCAGGAAAGCACTTAATCATGGAATTGATGACTCTGAAGTGCCTAATATAAGCATGTGCTTAAGTGCCTCGTTGGAGTGGGGCCAGTGCAGATGTGCCCTTGCTGAGCAGAGATTTGTGAGCCACTTCTGGTCTAGTCTCTCTGCAAAACAGAAATGAAAACACCGCTCGTAGGTTTATTTGTAGGATTTTGGGACAGATGCAGGGACTGAGTTCTGTCAGCAGGGTTTATGTGTGAGCTAAACAGCAAAACTGTTCATAGCATTACTATTGAAGTATGTGTGATGTGTTGCATGTGCTGCATTTCAGGCCTTAACATTTCTGTTATCTCAATTTCTTTTACTCTAAATGGAAAAAGAGTAATTTAGTTCAAATGTAGCAGTGCAAAATACATACACACTCACATGGGTCATGAAACATGGATGCAAATGGATATGTGTTATTTATAAAGCAGCTTTGACATCCTAATATACTAAAAAAAAGACATTTAGTCATAGTTCAGCATTCTGCACATTTTTGAACTGTCACATATCATCACCCATGAAAAATTCATTCTTTGAGTCTTAACCATTTCAATTTTATATGCACATTCCACCCAAAAGGGGGTGTGTCCTCTGCACTTGTCTTTTTTTTTTTTTTTTTTTTTTTTTT